GAGGAATGACATAAAAAGTTTGAGAACCACTGCTGTAGGAGAAGCACCCCTTTATAAGTAGTGTTATGGCGGCATCTCAGTGGTGCTCTGCAAAGAATATGGGAGATAAAGTCATCCTGCCGCAAATTCTTTCCATGGCCCCACTGGACAGAGAAGCAGCTCTCCATAACCTTGGTGAAGCCAGCAACCTGCGGGACGAAGACAGCTGGGAAGACAGGATGGACCCATTTATGTTCAGGTTCAAATTTGAGTCGGACTATTTAATGTTTTTTGAGCAGTGCATTGACAAAGAAAACCTTAAGGTTCATGCCTGTTTTGAAGAGCGCGGTTGAATGTTTGCATCAGTAAAGCTTTTCACTGTTGTATAGATTTTTTTTTGTATACTTGGTTTGGTTTTTATATTTACTGTATTTGCTTTTTCGGTTCTGTTATCTTAATGATTGTTCTGTTATATGATAAACGTTGTAAATAATAAATGCTTGTTCTATCATTCTATGAAATGCAGTGCAATGTATCATTTGAAATATATGGACTAGATATGAGTATGCACAGAACTAACTAAATGAATAATCAATTAAAACAAATATTAAATAATATACTTAAATACACTAATATATCAATTAAAACAAATATTAAATAATGAACTTAAATACACTAATAGAAAATATGACTTTTATACCACATATTTAAATACATTCATGCATTTAATTAGTATGAAGTTTTTAAATTATATTTAGTCGAGTGCAGATTTGTATTTGTACTTATTGTAGTTGTCCAGCAGATGATGCTGTTTGTGTCATTAGGATATCCTTACACCCCGCCCATCGGACGTCCAGCCCCGCCCACATCCGACCCCGCCCCATTCCGCGTTCCGCAGCCAGGGCCTATGGGGCGGAGGAGGGGTCGGACGTCCGACCCCGCCCCATTCCGCGTTCCGCAGCCAGGGCATATAGAAGAAAAGGGCAAGGAAAAAACACTTCTAAAACTAAAGGGTAAGATCCAGTGATTTGAGGGATTGTCTGACAAACACACATTCTCTCTCTATTGCTTACATACACACACTCTCACACACACACTCTCAGAGACTCTCACACACTCACACACACACACACACACACACACACACACACACACACACACACACACACACACACACACACACACACACACACACACACACACACACACACACTCACTCACTCAATCTCTCTCACCTACACGTTCTCACTCCCATCCCGTCACATATTGACGGACGGTCAGGGCCCCTCCCCGTCACTCTATTACGTACAGGGTACCCCTTGACCGTCAGGCTTCTACGGGCAGGGCGTCCCATAGACCTTCATATACCACGTGATCAACAACAATGGCCGACCTTCGTGTTATTCTCGGTGGAAAATGCCTATTTTAAGGTTCATTTGGCCATTAAAATGCGTTTTGATGTCATTTTATGCGATTAATATGAGTTGTTATTTCTGATTATTTGTGCAGTAGATGTACATGTTTAGTTGGCTAGTTATGACGAAGATTAATTCATGAATGTGTACACATTCATGGTTGCTATGGACGCTGCAACAGCTCCCAGACCACGTAATCAACAACAATGGCCGACCTTCGTGTTATTCTCGGTGGAAAATGCCTATTTTAAGGTTCATTTGGCCATTACAATGCGTTTTGATGTCATTTTATGCGAGTAATATGAGTTTTTATTTCTGATTATTTCTGCAGTAGCTACATGTAGGCCTACATGATGTTTAGTTTGCTAGTTATGACGAATATTACTTCATGAATGTGTAGACATTCATGGTTGCTAACGTTTTTTTGGTGGAAATGTGTTTTTTCACAGCAAAGTCACCCTCTGTACTTGGACTTATTGGGAGAATCTAAAGGCAAGAACATCCCAAATATTCATTTAGGTCTTTATTTTAGACCTTTAGTGTTGCCGTCTGTGAGGAAAATAAATGGGGCTCAGAGCCTCAGGATACTGAAATCTGTATTTTTTAAATCTTTTTTTCCTTCTAATTTGTTATTCTTTTCAAAATAACACACTGTTATTTACTCACCAATAACACACAATTATCTTTGCTTTTATTTATTGGTTTAATTCCATAATCTCGGGCTTTTTTGGCATCCGTCGTATTTTCGTATTTCCCATATTTAGAACTTGCCAGTATTAAACTGTATACATCCCTGGAGGTTTAGGGAATTGGAAACACATTGGTGTCTATATACAAGTGATTGGAATATGATATATTAGATAAATAATTTGTAAATTGCAGCCAGACTAATGTTGTGGATGTTGTTTCAAAAGTTCAGGTGTTTAATAGTCTTCTGGCCTGTGGGCAGGAGCTCCAACAAGCCATTTAGGACAGAGAGTGAATACACATACTATACAGAGACGCTGTATGAGAAACCAATGTGAGTTTGGAAAATTGCACAATATAAATCTATTCTAGTAGACCTCAACAATGGAATTACGATCAGTAGAAATGGCCATGTCATGGGACCTTTAAGGTTAACCTGGTATTTTCACTCCACTACATTTATTTGAGTTACTTTACAGATTTGGATTAATGATGTGAAATATAAACAACCCTTAAATCAGACTTTAGTTACACCTGAGTAAAATTCAGTGAAGGTGATTGTCAAGTGCCAACAATCAGGCGAGATATTTGGTGCTTGAAAAGACAAAAAATGTATCTGCAGATCCCTATAAAGCATATTCATTACTCGTTATTCTCTAATCATTCATTAAAAAGTGTATATAATGGCTATGTTGCACATCCCTTTCAAGATTTTCAAAGGTTTGACATATCATGTACACAACTACGGTGTAGTTATGCAATGAATGAAAAACTTGGGTCGCAGGTTCCTCAACAGTGCATTACAAGACATCTATCAATATGTGTGTACCTCCACCATTAAACTGTCATATTCTGCACATTTCTTATTCTATCTACATACATCTTATAAGAGTATAATAAATATGTATAATATCGGTTAAAATAAGTGCTTCAACATAGTTAACATTGCAGGAAAGTTGATAGTCAAGTCCCAAAACAAACCATGCAATATATTAGACTTTAAGTACTTTGTCAGGCTTAATATTTATCTGTAGATACCCCCAAAGCTTTTTGCTTACATTTATTTAAAAGAAGACCTTAACCTAAAGTATCATTTAATGTTTTAATAAAGCCAAATTAGTTTGTCTGTTTTGCACATCCTCCTATTAATATCTTTGTACATCCGGCACTAAATTATTTTATTGCAGAGATCATTTACAGTATCTTCTTGATATTTTCTATTCAATATTTCTATCATTGACCTTCTACTTTCCCCCTAATTTGTATGAACTGTTAATATTGAAATGTTTTCATCAAATATAACACATTCAACAAAACATGCAGCAAACCTTAGGCAAGGCAAGTTTATTTAAATAGCACCTTTCAACATAAGGCAATTCAAAGTGCTTTAAAAAAAATGAAAGACATTAATAACAAGGCATTTAAAAACAGTAATTAAAAAGCAACACAATCTACCTGCATTGCATTGACTCTAAACGTGTAATAACGTGCTTTAACCAGTAGGTGGTTTGGGTTAAAAAGCTGTCAAGTTTACAGTATTAACACAATCAAATATACTGCTGTTTCCGGTTTAGTTTACGACGGATATATTTTGTTATTCACAGACCACACATATTGTTTTGATATTTGTAACACACAAGCGATGGAAAAACCCACAGCAACACAGAAAAGATGGTCTTAACATGACCCAGCTGTCTAGCTAATAACAAATAATAATATCAAACAAAATATTACGATTAACTTTATTGTGAAATTAAAACAGTAGTGCTGTAGCGACGCGTCGACGATGTCGACTTCAAAATATCGTCGAAGACATATTTCCGCGTCGACGCGTCGCCACCATAGACTGTATATATGGTCGCCCCACACACGTGGGTCACCCAAAGCAACAAGCAGTTCGCAATCGCACTTCTAACACAATGGAGACTGAAACGGCTACCACCTCCTCCTCACAGGATTGCGCACGAAGCCCTCAAACGAAAACATCTCGCCCTAGGTCTTCAAAAGCATGGGAATATTTTAAAGTTAGTCCAAAACGCAAAGATATTTATATATGTATATCTCATGAGACTGCTGCTTGACCGGAAGCAGCAGCTAGCTGTGGTGGCAACCATTAGCAGCTAGCATTTGCTCTCCGATTTTTACATAAAAATGGAATTATGGATTATAAATTCAATAATTTTTTTATACATAGACGTTAAAAACCTATGGATTAACCGATTCAGCCGCGTTTTTTCTCATTTTAATGCCATTGAACACGTATTTTGATCAGATTGACAGCTACGGCGGTGAGACGATCTCCCTAGAAGCTCTGTGAAGGTACGTGTTGTGATGACTGTATTTGCTTCCCCTGTCGCGAGTCCGGATCACTCAGTGATGATACTATGTACCTACATAATCTGTGGAGTCTCAGCTTTAATCGGATATCTTGTATGTGCAGCTACGATAAGTAATAAGGGTTATCTTGAGTTCTGTGCCAATGTCCGTTAGCATTTTTCGCTCAGGGGTCATTTAGATAGCATTTTAGTTTGCTTCTTATGAGACTTGTGTTTTGTTTTGTGTTGGTAAACATGGTTTGTATCGTCAGTTAGCTGAGATTATTTCCGTTAATCTGGTATAACACATTAATAGGTTCTTAAATATTAAGATCCCCTGAGACACAGTATCGTGAAAAATTTTTTTTTTACATTACTTTTTTTTACATTACGTTTTTTATGAATTGAACAACAGAAAAATAATCGTTCGATTAGTCGACTAATCGATCAAATAATCGCCCGATTAATCGTTTTCAAAATAATCGTTTCCCCCCAGCACTATAAAACAGAACGGTAAAAGAATAGTTTCCGGTCTATTCTGAGGCCCAATCTCTGTAGATAAATAAAGAACTAAGCCAGATGAGTAATATTGAATGCAGCCAAACCATTTAATACAATGCATTTGTGATGACTTTCAAAGAGTAAAGTAAGCACTAGCTGAATAAAGTATGATTTTTCATATGGAATACAGTCGGAGGTCAACCAATCACAGAGCTTGAGGACTAATCACGGGGTTTGAACAAAGCGCATGGTGTAGTCTCAAACGATAGCTGAGGATTATGGGTAGTGTAGTGTCTTCGGCCATCCTAAACAACCATTTGTTTCTCAGAGTCGAAGGGGAAAAACACAACCATTGTACACAATTTAAACCAATCAATGTTGTGTAATTAACAAGGATAATCTGGTGTTTTTGAGTTGATGAGTAGTGAAGATATCACTGTAAAATCAATCGACAGTATGGAGAATACTTATTTCCGGGAGTAAAATTCTCCTCGATCCAACGTAAATGGACACTCACATTGCCTTTAACTGCCGCCGACATGGACCGATGCGGTGCTTCCCTGAGCGTCAAATACCGCCGCCGATGGGAATACATTGCAATCAGTTGAAAGCTCTTTGCATCCGTTTATGAAGCTGAAGGAGACTCGGTGCGTCACAACTGCACGCCAAAGGACCCTGACCAAGCGTCGCTGTTGCACTATCAGGGAGTGAGACTGTGTTGGAAAATTGTGTAACAATGTTAATCCAGTCAGACAGAATTTTCTCATGTGTAAACGGTCATAAGACGTATTCATTGTCCTCGATCAGCTTCTGTTTCCATGTGTTCAGCTGAGCTGCTGATTGGAGGCTCTGCCTCTCTGTTATCCTCAGTTTCAATTTCATTAAGCTGTGAGGACTGACGACCAACACACTTGTGTCTTTTGAAATCACTAAGCCATTTAAATATTTTGTCACAAACGTTGCAGCTGTATATTTCCTCTCCTGTGTGGACTCTCATGTGTTTTTTTAAACCTCTACTCTGTGAAAAAGCTTTCTTACAGACTGAGCAGCTGTGTGGTTTCACTCCTGTGTGGATTCTCATGTGTTCCTTTAAGTTTCTATTCTGTGAAAAAGCTTTCTTACAGACTGAGCAGCTGTATGGTTTCTCTCCTGTGTGGACTCTCATGTGTGTATTTAAATTTCTATTCTGTGAAAAAGCTTTCTTACAGACTGAGCAGCTATGTGGTTTCTCTCCTGTGTGGATTCTCATGTGTTCCTTTAAATGTCCACTCTGTGAAAAAGGTTTCTTACAGACTAAGCAGCTAAAGGTTTCCTCTCCTGTGTGGACTCTCAAGTGGTCTTTTAAACTTCCACTCTGTGAAAAAGCTTTCTTACAGACTGAGCAGCTAAAGGGTTTCTCTCCTGTGTGGATTCTCATGTGTCGATTTACATTTCTTTTCATTGCAAAATATTTGTTACAGATTGAGCAGCTGAATGGTTTCTCTCCTGTGTGGACTCTCATGTGTTCCTTAAAACTTACACTCAATGCAAAAGATTTGGTACAAATTGAGCAGCTAAAGGGTTTCTCTCCTGTGTGGATTCTCATGTGTCTTTTTAAAGTTTCACTCAATGCAAAAGATTTGGTACAAACTGAGCAGCTAAAGGGTTTCTCTCCAGTGTGGATTCTTATGTGTCGCTGAAAATTGCTTCTATATGTAAAAGATTTTGTACACACAGAGCAGCCAAATTGTTTCCTTACAGCACTACGGCTTGAATCACTGACAGATTCTTTATTTTTCAGTGAGGTTGAGTCTGACGCAGGTTCTCTGGTCTCCTTCCAATCAGCACTGTCTTCAGTGTCAGGTTCAGAAGAGTCTCCAGTGTCAGGTTCAGAAGAGTCTCCAGTCTCGTCCTCAGATCCAGAAAGCAGTTTACAACCAAAGACTGAGTTCCTGGTAGGTTCTGGTCCTCGAGGCTGTGAGGACTGAGGTTTCTCTTTATCATTTTCACTCTTCACAGGAGTGAAAGTGGACTTGGTGATATCAGCCTCCTCCAGCTCTTGAAGCTGCTCTCCCTCCTGACTGATACTGAGTTCCTCCTTTTCTTGCTTAATGTATGGGGGGGACTCTGGGTCCTCCTGGTCCAGACTGGTGCTCCACTCCTGCTGGTCAGGGAGAAGCTCTTCTTTAACCACGACCAGCAGCTGGACGTCTGCAGGAAACAGGAAACACACAGCCAGAAAAAATTGTTAAGTGTTAGCATTTAAACATTACATTACATTACATTGCATTTAGCTGACGCTTTTATCCAAAGCGACTTACAATAAGTGCGTTCGACCAACAAAATACAACTTGAAGAAAACCGAATCATATAAGTACATCAGGTTTCATAGAGCAAAAATATTTCAAGTGCTACTCAACTGGCTTTAGAAAAGCCAGTCCTTTATTAGTATAAAAGTGCTTCGTTAATAGTTCTATCGCTCGAAGTGGAGTCGAAAGAGATGAGTTTTCAGTTTGCGCCGGAAGATGTGCAAGCTATCTGCCGTCCTGATGTCAATGGGGAGCTCATTCCACCATCCTGGAGCCAGGATGGTGGAATGAGATCTAATCATCATTCAAATGGGAGACATTTTGCAGCCCTAATTGATGCCTTTGTTTTCATACTTTCATATCATCTTTCTTAGTCCCGCCTATTGTGTATTTTTGCCACAATGTAAACAATGAATTGTATTTGGGATCTTTCACAGCTACACTACGCCTATAGAATGGTAATACTCTGTTACAAATGAAAATCCTGCATTTAAACCTTATTTAAAGTGGACCTATTATGCTATATTTGAAACATATATTGTAGGGCCATACCTATACAAAACATGTCTGTGAAGTGTTTTGCTTAAAATACCAAACAGATCAACCATTGTAGCCATGCCTCATACTGCTCATACCCCTCTATTCCAGCCCTGTTCCAAAAAGGCTGATTCTGTTTTAAATGGAACAGCTGCTGCTAGCCACGCCCCTTTGTGGCGTCATGCAGCTTTCCCCTGCTAAGAGAGTTTTCTACTGGGAGAAACTCGGCTAAACGCTGCTGTGATGAAATGCCATATTATGCTCCAAACCACTTCAAGCATTATTTCTGAAACAGTATGAAGCTCAAACGTTTTCTCTCTCGCAGGGTTTACCGCAAGGACACATATTCTCTCCAGTACAGCGTTAGCGATGCTTGCTAATGTAAACACAGACCATATTACTCCCAAAACACGCAGCACATAGTTTGACAAGTATTTACCGCTATAACTGTGCCATTATATATATATATATATATATATATATATATATATATATATATATATATATATATATATATATATATAACAACTTTACTCTAAGTACCTCCTGCAGACATCCTGCTGAATACACAGACACACAGCTGCGAGAGGGGATTCAGCTAGACGACTGTATACAGAGACGATAGGTTGGGACCAGGGTTTCCTTTAGCCGGTAATTACCAGTTTTAAGCTGGTCAAACTTATAAAAAAAACGGTAAATTCAAAACCTGCCGGTCAAAATGTGCGGTAATAATTAGGGATGCTCCAATTGATTGGCCGCCGATCATTAACGGCCGATATTCACTCTTAATTAGGGTTGGGTATCGTTTGAATCGTTTCTACGATTCTGATTCCGATTTTACTTTTCGATTCCGGTTCTTAACGGTTCTCAATTCCGATTCTTTGAGGGGCAGGGTAAAAAAATGATACATGCTTCTTCCACCAAAAAAAAATTACATTTATTCGAGAAACTTTTACACAGGTTAGTTTACAGTAATATTCTCATTAATTAGTCTGTTTATATTCACTGCTATGTAACTGTAACCTGAGAACCACTGAAGCTACAACAGTGCAACAATCCAACTTTTAAAGAACAGTTCTTGTTGAGAAAAACAGGCATATCTGCCTTCTCAGGCATACCTGGAAGAAATGTTTGAACATTTTTAAGTAAAATGCTTCAATCTGGTGCACTTTAAGCAGAATTACTAGAGACTAGATCTAGGGGGTACAACTCTAAACACCCATATGAAAAAGATCGGTTTACATTTTAATAATTAAATAAGTATGTGAACATAACCAATAACGTACCATAGCCAATAACCCATAGCCAATAACAAATACATGGAACGTATTTTATTTTTGTTGTTCATTCATATCCTATTTTATTTATTAGGGGTGCACCGAATGGGAAATTCTTGGCCGAAACCGATACCGAAAATAGGAAACAGTTGGCCGAAAACCGAATGCCGAAAGGCCGAAAATGATTAATAGAAATATATATATATATATATATATATATATATATATATAATGTATACATTTTTTACCAATGTTGTTCAGCTACCTGATTATGGAAATAGACATGATTATGGCAAAACTTAACTTAAATAATAATCACTATTATGGGTCCATAAAACATTTATTCAGCACTTTTGAATGCATACAGTACATTTATATATGTCATGTATTATTGCTAAAAAAACATTATATCGCAGTCTTAGTGTCGCCAACTCGTTTCTAATATGCAAAGACAACAAATGCGTCTATGATGTATTTTCGATCAGACGAGATCTCTCTCCCCCGTCTGTGTGCGAGGGGGCGGGGCAGTTTACACACACGCAGCTGCTACATGCAGCGGAGCACACTGCGGAGATGGCGGAGAGAACGCGCTCCGAGGTGTGGTTAAACTTTACCCGTCTCGATGTGGAGAATACTTGTTACCATAAGTGCAATAAGAGTTTAGCATGTAAGCACGAGCAATTTGTCTAAATATTTAGCAAAAGTGCACCGCATGCAGACGGAGGAATGTACCGGGTTCGACCGTCTTTCTAGCAGCTCTGTAGCCCCATCCACGAGTAACGTTTCCACGTCAGGTATTATGTATGCTAGCAGCAACACACGGAGTTAACTACATAATACAAACATGGGTTAATGATTAGAGGAAACTGAGTTATTTAGTTTGTTAAAATTTCAGCTATTCTGTTTACAATCTGTCATCAGATTATTTAATACGATTTGTTAAAGGCTCAGGCCGGGCAATCTCATGACAAAGGTCAATGTCCCCCAATGTAACCGGGGTGAAAAGGGTGTTACATTTACTTAATTATGAAAGTTGTTACATCAAGGCCGAAAATTAGGATGATTGAGAGCTGTCAGCGCGGCGCCTCCACAGATCTGGCGCCCTAGGCGAACATGGTTACGCTGTAGGAAGTGTAGGTACAACGCTACATTTCCCGCCCCGCCGCAGTCAGGCTACGGAGAGCGGCGAGAAACATTTCCTCAGGCATCGAAAAGCGGAACCGAAATTCACATTTCTAAATGATGCCGTTGGAATCGAAAGGTTGGAACCCAACCCTACTCTTAAGAGTTTGATCGGTGCTCTCTATAAAGGCCGATCAGGAGTGCTGGATCTGATCGATATGGACATAAATGCGAGTGAAGTATAACCGGACGAGAGAGACAGGGATCAGAGATCCGATCAGCTGCTGAGTTTGACGGAGACACACAGCTCTACATGATCATCTGAAGCCCCGCCCGCTGTTTAGCGAGATGCATAAGTCTGATATTGACGGGCTGTCAGGAGAGAGAGGGAGGGAGAGAGGAAAAGAGAGGCTCAGTTTCTCCTGTGTTATTATTCAAATTTAATGTAAACTTTTGAATAATGTACTTCATCTACTAAAAGTAGTTTGAATGTAATAATGATGTTGTTGGTTGTTTGGGGAAGCGTATAATTTTTTGAAAAATGAATCTGAACTTTTCGATCCGTTACAATAATCATTAACTGAGTTTTAAACATCAGAATATCCGGTCATAGTCCGGTAATTACCTGCCAACGGAAACTCTGCTACACAATTCTTCTTCTTATTATTATTTAGTGGGAATGCTGATAACAGCATTCCAACTATCTGTTATTCTACAGACGAAAAGTTTATTATTCCGCCGGAATTTTGGCCCTCTTCTCCTCCTGCATTGAACATCGCAGAAACTCCGTTCTAACATCAAAACGTTCAGCTCGGTCGGGAATCGATGGCTATTACTTTTCTCATTCATAACTTTCATAATTCCAGAGATACATCCCATAATTCATCACATTTTTAACATTGAAGTCAATGGAGAAACTCTTCAGACTTGAAAAATATTCAAAATCTTCATGCGACTTCAACTGCTAACTGTTCCTTCATATTTTCACTCAGAAACCTCATTCCAACTTTAAAATGTTACACATCTGACATTATTCATGTAAAACAACTTTTAAATCTGATTCTTACTTTTAGAGATATTAAACATTGTTCAGACCTTGTTAAAGAGGTTTTCTTTCACTAGAGTGCGTGATGTCACAGCTAGAGGGTAGAAAATCTTGAGATTTGCCTTCATATTTTTTTTTAAAACTGCCATAATTCCCAAACCCTACATTCCTGAGACATAATTTTTCAAAAATAATTAAACAAAATGCCTCTTGAGGGCATGAAGTGACAAAACATTCAACATTCCTCCATTAAAGCCCATTGTAATTTCAGGCTGATATTTCCTCACGGCAGCAGCCGCACACCTTTAGTTAAACTGCCAAAAAGGCCACATTATTAACCCGAAAGTACACAAATTATACTTCAGATACTCAACTTCCTTGACATGCTTCATGTTTTGAAATTTCACAGATATCTGTTACGGTTCTTCCACAAAACGTTCACATAAGAGGTTTATCTCTCATTCAGAACAATGGAAACCTGTGATCTCTGCACACCTCATTAGCTCAAATAAACACCTGTGTAATGGAACACGATGATGTCATCACTCCAACTGACATGCTCAGAGCAGCAGACTTCAGATAGCAGTGTGCTAACAGTCCAGCCGTGAAGACATCTAAGGGACAGTTTTGAGATTTCTTCAAATGCCGTTGCCATGGCAACACAATGCTTGCCTTGAAACACGGTTTTCTCATAACTTCAGTGAAAATACTCCAAACAGCCCAGAACTTCACAGGTTTGGTAACGATGCAGCCATCAACGCATCTAAGCGTAGTATGGGGTGTCATCAAATGCCGTTGCCATGGCAACAGACCACTCGCCATGAAACACGATGTGGCTGTAAGTCCAATCGTCCCCCAATCTTGACTTGTATATCACCGGTCCATGCCTCAACAGCTCTACGCCAAATCTGAGATCTCACC